ACATTAGGACCCACACAGACTGCAGGGTGAGCGCATCCTACTGGTCCCACTAACACCTCTTCCAGCAGCAGCCTTAGTTTTTCTCAGGAGGTCTCCCCTCCAGGTACTGACCAGTCTCACACCTGCTGAACTGCAGTGGGCTGCCAGCTGTGAGTTGCAGGGTGATATGGCTGCTGGCTACTGTCAGTGTTGGTGTATTTCAGGATGCTTGACGGCTCCTCATAATCTTGCCTGTTCAGGCCTACAAAGTTCTTTTAGCCTCTGTCGCTGTAGGGCTTTTTATTCGGACTGGAAATCTGGTTGGCCTTTTCTGGACTCATTCTGGATTAGTGTTATCATTTTTGCAACATGATGACCAACATTGTACTAATGTAGGTACATAATACCTAAAGACTAAAACAGTCTTACTAATGCATCATAAATAAAAGTTTAACATAACATCTCTTGATTTAAATTCTATTCTTTCACCACTTTTTCCAACATTTTGTCTGACTTTTGAACTGCTCACTCACCCATTGCTCAATAGCTGCAATGGCATGTGAGTTGCTTCCTTCACAGTTGCATCTTAGAGCTGTGCAGATGAATGTGAACCTCCCAGGATGCAACCTGTGATAACCTTGATTTGCTCGCACCTGTTGTTGCAGCAGGAAAGCTAGACATTTTATCCATCTACGGCATGAATGAATACAAGTTTTGACAAGTTATGGGTGTTGGTGAATTACAGTCCTATTCCAGGAGTCCTCTGAAAAGGAAGAGTGCACTGGAGTTTGAAATAATAATGGTGTTATGTATTTATTGGGAATCAATGTCTCTTCCAGTGGAGCATTTTACTGAACATCCCCCCCTTACGATTCTTCACTTTCACACTTCATAACAGCCTCAGCAATTTGCTGACAGCCAGCAGTTCACTCACTCAGCCAACAGATCAAAATAGTATAATTAGTAAATATCTTCATATACATGTTTATATTACATCTGAGAAGAAAAAATCAATTAAGATTTTGATACATCTTCAGCAGGTTTAAGTAGGTGAAATTAGGACAGACAAAACAGCTAAGCTCAGCAATCAGCTTTTTTCAAGCCTCCTAACACCACTATGGACACGACAATGGTTTCCTTACTACATTCTGCAAACAACTACTAAAAACTAATTAAAACATATGCCCTGGCAATATAATACTTGTGCACCTGTATGTGACATGTGATTGTGTAAAAAATTAGCAAGTTTACAGCTGCTGTCACTATGGAATACAGTGTAAAAACCATTTACCTTGGAGATTTATTGAGAGATGAATGAGTGATTTGAGTACAGTGAATGTCATCTTTAAGAGTGACTCTAGACATGATTTAGCAAAGTAACATGTACATTTTTAAAATAACCAGCTAAAATATTGTTTTTAGGCACCGATCATGCAAGCATTATTAATGCCAGCCATGCCTTAAACTGATGAGAGGCCTGGACCTCCAATCACAGATCAATTAAATGGTTTGCAGTGAAAAAGCCTTGTCCTAACACAACGATGAATTGATGCCTGTTATTCATTAAAGTAAGCTTGTAGATGAAATGATGAAAAGTAATAGCATCAAATTTCAATATACTCTCTTAAATATTAGACCTAGTTTATTGTTGACCATTTGAAAAATAAAAAAAAAACTAATGTTATTTGAATACTCGTGGCTGAACACTGGGAGAGACAGGCTACATGGAGCTATCTGACTTGCTTCAATGGAATCAGACACAATTAACCCCAGCATCTTCACTGTGGCCGCAGTTGTTGACTCCCATACCATTGGATGTGCACCGGAAAATGGATGATTCTGTTCCTGTACACTTCAGATCATCCAGCCAGATCTTCCCGGTTCCTAGAATCAATTAAACATGGAACCGTCTGTGATCTGGGACAAAGTGAGCCAGGTGAGAAAAAACAAAAAGGTGGTACTCGAGACACAGGTCTAGGTCTTTTGATTTCCTGAAAGCGACCACCCAGACTCCAAACCCACCCCTTGATTGACTCCTTCTGCGTGAGGGAAAGCTAACTCCACGGCCCGAATGGGTTTCTGAACTGGCGGGGAAGATCGAGTCTGGTGCCTTACCGCCTCCAGCAGTGAAGACCATGGTGGCTCTTTCGAAGCCGACCATGCGGCAGAAAACTGTCGCATCAGTAATATCCCAGCTGTCGTCACAGATCGTCCCCCACTGGTCGTTATAGAAAACCTCCGCTCGTCCGCGGGATCCCCCACCGTTTATCCTGGCGTCCACAGAATCTCAAGGCGGAAACAGAGGTTTGTGTCACTGACATGACCCGACACAGTGCTGTGGTCTTAGTGGAGGAAGATGGAGTATAAAGGGGTAAAAATATGCCAGAAAATACAAGGTATGCCAGCTTCAATGTACATCTTGTCAAATTTTAGATGTCATTAAGACAATGGTGAACCATTTCTCTTAGTATTCTAAATTGGGAAGCTTTTACATTGATGGCAAAGCAGAACAGTATCCCGAAGCCTCCTTTTCCTCTCTCACTTTTTACTGCGCCTTTCTGGGAGCAGGAAGGTAGATCTTTTACACTGAAACAAACATCTAGACAAGTTACCTGATGCTGAAGAGAAGGAAGGGGTGAGGGGACTATGTGAGTGTTGTCCATGATTACAAAGCCAAACGACATTGATGGACACAGACATTGATGTCTCTCTCATGCCTATTTGGCCTACAGCTTTGACAAGTGGGTTGTCAGTTTGCAGACCTAAAGCTCTCCAGTTCTATGTGCAGCAACTGGAACCTCAGGCTGATAATCTTACAGCTTCCTGGTCCTGTCCTGTCATTTCTGGCTCCAGAGACCAATACAGAATACTTGGACAAGGAAGTGGTTATATCAGTGTGGGTGTGTCTGGAGTTTATGTGGCAACAGATGCCTCAGATGTTTCCCCCAAGAGAGTTGTAAGAGGGTGGGCACATCCAGAACACGTTTTTCCAACAAAGCCTATCAAAATGCTGGGTTTGGAAATGTGTTTCACAGGGCTGCAAATAATCCAGGCAGAAACAACAACAGAGTAGTATGCTATTTAAGAAGTAACATATGAAATGGCAAAAAAAAATATGAATGGTAAGCAGAAGTCTTTCAGGTTACTTAGCAAGTTGTTGGCCATTGTTGGGGCACTGCAGGTTTAAAATGGGCTTACGACTGGTTTGTCCTGCTGCTCCCTTTTCTCCTTTCTGTCCAGGAGATCCTTTGCTCCCTTTCTCACCCTGTAGTCCTCTCGATCCTGAAATGACAAGCACTGTTCCTGTCACAACGTTGGGCAGAAAGGGGAAGCCAATGAGCTGTGATGCCCTGCTCCCTTCCCATTTCCTGTAAAGCACTTTGAGTGGAGTATCCAGAAAAGCGCTATATAAGTGTAAGCAATTATTATTATTATTATTATTATTATTATTATTATTATTAAGAGAGACAACCTAGGCAACTCTCTCTGGGGAGGTGGGAGGAAACTGAGACACACAGTGAAAACCAAGGTGAGTTCACAGTGAGGGAGAACATACAGTACATGCTGCACACAGAGCTGGCCAGATCTGGAGCCAGGATCCATGCAGCAGACCTTGTCTGTCCACCATCACACCACCCATGGAAGCATATACTGTAGCAAACCCTTAAAGACTCCCTAGAAACAGCACGCCGACTACTGGTACAAAAGAGAGCTGGATCCAGCTAATCAATGAAAACAATACACACATACTAGATTGTATCCTTAAAATGTTTCCACGACAGATACTGTATGTACAGAGACTTCACAGATTTGCTAACCCATTGCACCAGGTTCGCCCTTGTTGCCTTGCAGTCCCTGGAGTCCTGCAAAAGAAAGAAAATTAAAACTCTTTCTCACCATCAGCATCCAGAGAGCAGAATAAAAGCAGTTCGTTCAGGCGTGCTCTGTTTTGTATGCTTTATCCCGTCTGTGAAGCATTTTGGTAAATGAATACTGCTTTTTAATCAGTTTAGCAAGAAAGACAAATGCGTCATGTTTACAAGTGAAAGTGCAATGTTTGACTTCCTCAGCAAGAGGTATGAATAAACACAGGCAAGAGATACTGTATGAAGACAAGGTATCGAGCTGACATATGGCTTAGTGCTGTCCACTGTTATTGAATGTCTGCCTCTCTTCTAATGCTTTATGAGTTCAACAAGTATGCTCTGTAATGCAGTAACAACACTGCATTGTTATTACTAAAGACAGGTAATCATAGCTGAGCCAGATCAGCTCATCGGAGCAGACCAGAGCTTATCTGAGTTTCAGTGGTGTTAACTGGACAGGAGAGAACGTGACTTTTCCCCTGGACAGGACACGCTCCTTAGAGCACGTTTTACACAGTGGGTGAGAGAGCCTTCTATGGTACGTAGTTCCCTGTCTGCTGTTGATTTTTGTAATACTTTTTCCTAGAGACAGATCTGTTCACTGTAGGAACCAACTCCCTGCCATGAATGTCTCCACTTATACTGCTGGGGGGTGGGAGCAAATGGGGTAAAGTACCTTGAACAAGGTACAACGACACTGCAACAGGGACTCAAACCCACATCCTGTCGGGCATGAGACCAGAGACATACCCACCACTCTACATATCCCCAAACACATATCACTGCACTGTATAGCATGAATTCATTATTATATACCACATAGAATGCAGCATATTTCTTTTTCTTGAGATCTTAAGTACATGTAATGTTTGACTTGAAGTTTCCCATATTAGATGCTAAACTGTATATTGAGTAAAATGGGCCAAGAGTCCCCTTGTCTTCTGCATCTTTTGCTCTTGTCTTTCAGCCTAGTCTTTCAGCCTAGTGCCTATTTCTCCACCACCAAATTGCTGTAAAGTACACGTCCTCTCTTGGTTTGATTAAATATTTGCATTAAATTAAAGAATTGGTAACAAAACCTGCTGCCCCCATATCATGTAGCAATATTGTGAGCGTCAATATCTACGACAGTATGCAATTAACAGACTTGTACCAAGACTGAAAACCCTGGTTTCAACAGATTCTGTCAGCAGAACGAAACATCTATAATTGAGGAGATGATATGAAAAGGAAACTTAGTTTCTTCTTCTTGTAATAAAGTGCATTTAATATGCAGTTTCTGCGTACAATGACACCAAAATCAAATGAACACAAAGAGAAACATTACTGGTAAATGAACTTGAGTTTGCTTTATGACTCACAGGAAACTTACAGGGCATGAACGAGTCAACACCTTCTGTCCTAATGTTTTACAATAACCTCCTTCATAACAATTCAGTATTTATACGATTTGCACTCTAATGATGCAGTGTACAAAGCCCTATGTCACTTTTATGTTTAAATATCTTATTGAATAAAATAAGAAGCCTGAAGCAAATTTGAGAAAATTTGTTTTTTATGATTCCCATGGGAAGACCGTATGCTTTAAATTTAGCTTTCATATGAAAAATGTGTATTTTTTTCTCTGGAAGATGTTTGCTGAGTTAATCAGAGAACAGTAAGATGTGTACTGGACTGGATGGAACAATGGCAAAGAGTAAGTTTTTAACCTTAGTGATTAGGGCTTGATCTGTCCCAGCAGGGACCTGGCCCACCATAGCTGTCAGTGTAGCAGATGACACTGGTAATCCATTACATGCTAAAGGTTTTTCGGGAAGAAAAATTCTGCATTACCTGGTGCCCCATTGCTACCTTTGACACCTGGACTTCCTTGTGCTCCTGGGACTCCTGAAAGACGGGTAAAAAAACACAGTTAAAAGAGAGGATGCAAATTCATGGTCATGCATCTGTATTTCAAACACAGTTCTGCCTGCTCTCTTGACAGTTATTATCTCAGAATACAGGAAACAAAGGATATACATAGTTTGGGAAAAGATTAATTGAAGTCGCTGACAAACATTCTGTGGATCATTACATACAGCGGGTGATGAATGCAGTACCTGCTGTTCCTTTGTCTCCTTTTGGGCCAGTGAGTCCAGGCATTCCTTGGGCTCCTTATGTGGAAAAATTCAAAAAATAAATTGGTTCCACGAAAGACGCAAAGAGTCAAGCAAATCTGACCACATCTCTGTGCTGAGGACGGCTGCTCTCACCTGGTGTCCCCCGTAGTCCGGTCTCTCCCCTGCTTCCCTTCTCCCCTTTCATCCCGGGAATCCCCGCCGTCCCAGCAGCTCCAGGAGCTCCAGGCACACCTGCAGTTTCAACACAGCTTGGAATTGCACTGGGCTGAAGAGCAGGACTGAGCAGGGCTGACCGACTCAGTCAATAAAGGTCTCAAAGCCGGTGATGCATTTCAAGATCACACAGGAGGGGGAAGCTACATTCATGTCTTTATGATCTTAATAATTAAAGAGGGAAGTGTGAGCATGTTTTTTGGGGGGGACAAATCTAAAAAGCAAAGTTGGGCGCCCCAGGCTTTTCCAAAGCCATCAGCACATTCACAAAGCGAAGTGTGAGGATCTGCTCTCCAACGAAGAAACTCCTTTTGTCAAGCAAATCGATTTCAGAAGAAAAACAAACAAGAAGTGAAAAAAATGAGAAATAAACTCTGTCTAATAA